AACAGTTAAAATATATAGCTACTAATAAGATGGTAGCTGAATCAAAAAGTAAAATGACTTGTACCTCTGCTGAAGAATAATCATGCCTGGGGACTGGTAGGGCATGAAGGCATTTGGGGCTGAATCCAATTTTACTTTAAACGCCTAAATGGCACATATGCAGCTGTGTAACTCAGCACTGGGAACTTACACACAGTTTATAATTCAGCTCTCAGTACACAAGCATGCACACAGCCATTGAGCAGGGCTGTGTTCAGGCCAGGCCAGTATATGTATGAGCTAGATGACTCCTGAAATAGCAGCTAGGCAATCCCTATAACTTGCAGGTATTAGACACTGGCAGAAGAAGATGAGATGGGCCCTGTATGTTGTAGCCCTATAGCTTAGGGAGTAGGAAACACAGGTCCTAAGCTCTCCTTACCAAGGGGATTTGAACCTGTATCTCCTGCTTCCTTGCACTCTCCTAACCACCATGCCACAGGCTAGGAATTACACAGACCATCTCCAGCCTTCCCCTCTAAGCTGGCCTGCTCATCATGCAAGGGAGGGAAGGAAGGGAGGAAAAGAAGAAAGCAGGGGGTAAGGCTCAGCAAGACGGACTCTGCCCTGGGTAGGAGAGGGCCCTGGATTCTAGCTGGCACTTTCATCTCCCAATGGGGCAGAAACTTCCCCATTGCTCTCTATCCATTTTGACCAATGACTGTTAAATGACAGATGTGGTACGGCAGCCTCAACAGGAAGGCTGGAGAAGTCTAGATAATACCTAAGCTTTGCTGGGAAGTAGGAGATGTAGGTTCTAGCCCTTTCTCTCTGCATGGCATAATACCTCCTGGGCACTGAGGACAGCACTGTGTTCATTGGGACTTGCTGCCACTCTTAAAAAAAGTGTTGCCAGTAAGCATATACACAGAAAGGTACAATCACAAGAATGTTTCCGTAGTGCTACAAACACAAAGATGCCAGCCATTACTTTACAACCATTTCTAGGGGGGAAAATGGTAAATTGGGATTTCATTAAAGGATTTAAGCACAAGGTCTACCTTAAAGTAAATATACCGCCCTCTTATTTCAAGTACATCCATTTATTCCAGAGTTCTGGATTAAAAGAGAAATTCTAACTAATACTTACACTACTGCCAACCAATACTCAAACAGTAGAATAAAATTAATTAAATCCTGACCCCTTTGGCACGTCTAAAAGTTCATTAATACGCCATAGTTACTGAGTGTTAAGTCTAGTATTTGTATAATCAAGGACTAAATTAATGTGCTGTAACTGGTGCTGGTGCGTGCCTTTTTAGTGACCCTGTTGTGCAGCAGCCTAATTATAGTGCGCAGTAGCATATTAGCACTGCTTGTGCTGTGACGTGCTACTGTGCAGTATTATCAGGCTATTGCACAGTTAGTGTCTTGTGTAGACGCACCCCTTTTAAATCAATGGGATTTTTCCGTTGACTTCAATGAAACTAAGATTTTACCCTGCATAGAGATAAAAAAGATCAAATTTTGGACTGTGTGAGTAACCCATCAAATGACAAAAAGTAGATTTCTGTGGTACAAGTAGCACAGCCACTAAAATGATTACTTCTTGCAGACTTTTCTTGCAGACATTATGGCAGGCTAGATGCATAATGGCATTGCTATTATGAATATGGTCTCTCTTAGGGAGGCGAAAAAAGAGACTAATATTGGATACAATATGCTAGACAGAGTTGTGTGGCTAAATTAACTTAGTTGATTTATTAAGCATTCCATCACGTTCTTCTCACCCTCCCACAGCCATGAACAAGCCTTCCTATGCTTGTATTTTTTTTTCTCTACAAGGCTTAAATCCTTTTTATATAAAGTCATTTCTTCTATACATAATATATTTGTAATGGATATTTTTTATGCTTTTGCAGGTTCTCAGCAATATACATTCATTTCTATAATAAATATCTATAATAACTATATCCTGGACACTGTTTGTCATTCCTAGGACTGCTCTTGTATATACCATTTCTAAAAAAGCTATTTACAGACTAAATACATTGTACCTCAAATCCTTTTATGCTTATGTTTTATAATGAAGTCTTGTAACCAATAACCTTCAATTATATAACATTTGTGATATGGAAGAAAGCTACATGGTTACCTTTCTATTTATACATACAAACATTTTTACAACATGCATTTCAGAAGGATTTTAAGTCTATGGACCTACTGTACAGACTAAAACGTTGTGTTGACATAACAAGGAGATGGGAAAGGTCTATCAAATCACTGATCCATGAACATAGTCTGTAAACAGGTTTTGACAGATCAGGATGTTGACAATGTACTGAGGCAGGCCTTTCCGTTTGAAAGGCAAAGAGCAGAGCATACACACATAGGCACACACACAGTTTGCCTTTTTTACCCATCCACAATACTTCATTTGTTTTTGTGTCTCATTGATCTGTGCATGTAATACCAAATTTAGCATCATCTAGGAATTAATGAGTGCCATTTTTAACATCTGTTGGCCACATGGACCTTCACTCAGCTGTGAAAATGGAATTCAGATCTTTTTACTTGCAATGAACAGAGCAATGTGTGGCTCAGAAGAAAATGGCAGATATTATGGTACCATTTTGAGATTGCATAAAATTGCACTTTCAGATTTTAAGTTGTATAGGGAAGGGGTCAGGTTGCATTATTTGCTTGTACAGAATGTAGCACAATGAAGCATAACCGGAGCCTCCGGCCATTACTGTAATAGAAAAAATAATAAATCGTCAACTCCAACAAAACTGTATTGAACAGAGGAGCAGAGGCATAACATGATGCCTGAGTGCCCTGGGCAGCAGTACCATATGGGACAGTCACTGCCTATGCTGCTGTCAGCGCAGCAGAGGCTGGTCGGGCAGCACAGATGCTTCTATATTTTCACTCCCCACTGGGGTTGGCACCTTGCACTTGTGTCCCACTCACTTCTGCCCCCTCCTTTGTTATACTACTGCAGGGAAGACTATAGCCAGTGAGTCTTAGCAACATCCTACTGGGTGTATCTTTGGTTTTTGAATTGTTCACTTTGATGAGCTTGTTGTCACTTCTACAGTCAAGGAATAATATATGAGATACCGTGTGGTCACAACTTCGGCCCTTATTCAGCTGCATTCTCAGCAGTTACACAGAGCTCCCAACCAACTAATTCACAACATTTCACCTTGCTTGTCCACTCAGCCTCCGCTAGCTTGTATTAAAAAAGCTTCTCCATACCCCTCCAGGGAAGCAAAAGCATTATGAATTAATTTAAACAAGCAAGTCATTCTCTACAATTTTGCTATAAACTAGTGAAATTACATTGTCAATGACAGACCCATGCTAAACTTATGCAACTTTAATACAAGTATCAATAGCCTAATGTAATGTAAAAAGACCTGCAAGAATAGCTCAATATACAACGAGCATTTGCAATGTTGTGGTATTACCTTTGTGTTACTGTTCACAAAAGTTACCTCTACAGATGTCAGGCTGATAAAAAAGGAGAGAGGAAGAAAAGATACATTTTTCCAATTATTTGACCTCCTTTAATGGGAACTCTTCTTTGCTACAATTTGTGTATTGATTGAACCCTTTATCAACATTTATTTACTTTCCAGTGGGTACTTTGTGCTGATTAGGTGAGAGGATTAGTTTCCTTCCGGCTATTTATAACACTGCTAATGATTTTCTTTGGTGTGAACAACTCCTTATTTATCTTGAGATGTTTTTCTTGATAGGGACAAAATCAGGACAAGAAGTCTATTGCAATTCATTTCACATGGTACAAAAGACTGGCCCATTTCCTTAGGGTGACCATACATTTTAGTCTCACTAGGTTATTCCCATTTTAAACACATAGGCATCCTGCTGGTTTGGTCATATGATTGCTTTTCCTTTGTTTTCCGGGGGACCCTCCATCCCAACCTTTCTCCCAACCTACACAATTCCCTCACTATCCAGTGCACTCAGCTGAGGCTGGAGCTCAGATACACCTGAGCAGCCAGAAAGCAGGGTGTCTCATTTTGAAACCAGGGAAAACTGGACACCCTATATATGCTGCAAATGGATCTTCCCAGGCAGAAGTCCTTGCAAATAGCCACATCTTTAACAAAGACAATGTTTTTAGGTTTGCTTACAATTTAGACTATAGCTATAGCTAGTTCCTTTTACTTCTGTTATTAAATCTTGGTATACTTCTAAGAAATGCAGTGTTTAGACAAGTATTTAGTTTTTGATGCACCTTCTGACAACATTACAGTTCCAGAGAATACAACTGACCTTTGATTCACAATAGTTTGACTTTAGGGATGGTTATATTCTGGAACAGGTTTGTGATCAGATGAATTAGCTTTTCTCCTTGAGGAATACTGCTTTATATACAAATACATTTGCTACTACAGAAATCATGGCCCGTCCCTATCTATTGGTCAAATGTAAACATTAATTAATCATTTTAAATAACTTTAAAAGTATTCAGACATGACATTATAGAGCCTTCCTTCCTTACTTAAAAAGTGCTTTCTCAGCCTCCAATGCACTCTGCAATTTACAGGGACATCAATATTGTATAAGGGGAAAGCATGCAACCATGGTTTTCACTGAAGACTTGGCTCTGTCCTGTCAGTGTGCAAAATAAGCAATTATTTGTTTGAACTTTATCTAACTTGCTTCAGGTACTTAGTATAATGAACCAACATTTCTTTCATACAACTGCAACATATTATCCTGTCAAGCTGCATGCCTAATATGAATGCTAGTTTTAGTTTTGCTCTCAGTCTCTCTTGCAGCCAGTGTGATGTATTAAAATTACAATGAACCCATCTGCATTTAGCTTTTACATAGAAAAATATTTTCACAGTTGCCATCTGGCTCTTCATTAATTTCAGATAATGGTAGCAATGACACATTTGTAATGGGATGTCCTAATGCAATTCGATTAAACTGGAAAACATAATGAAAACATACAGCAGATTTAACATTAAAAATGTACTTACCTTCATATGTTCCACTTTCTAGAAGAGCACCGCTTTTCTCCAACTCCATAAAATCTTCAACAGTGATGAAAATATAGTCCACACCAGGGACCTCTCCCTCCTTATGTGGCCTTGTGGTGCCTGATAATGAAAGACAAAAGCACATTGTCAAGCACATTAACTGCAATTAAATGCAGAAGCTAACCAAGGTGTATCAGACTGGTTTGCAATCCAGGGCCAGATGTTCTAGGTCCCAGATCACAAAGTCCTGGCTAATGAAACTATTATTTTGCTTTGATTTTTGTACTGTTAGAGAAGCTATCACTGAGGCCAAACACTTGAATGTTATATTAGTTTTCGTTATATGTATTTATGAATACCACATCTGCTGTGGCTTTAAATAAAAAAGTAACAGTTATTTAGTTTTAATATTTACAGTGTCAAAGTCTGCTTCTGCTAAATACAATTTTTATTTATTGTAGTTTCTGTGAACAGGATACATTTTAACAATATATATTTACTACATGAAGCAACAAATCTGTAACTTAAGATCTTAAGGTGCTTCTGTTTAAAATTCTTATTTTGATCCCACTCTACCATCAACATTCAAAATGAAAACTCTGTTATCGTTAGGTGGCAAATTTAAGGAGGTTGGGATGCTCCTGGGGCTTATACCTGAATCTCTTTCAATATGTTTTCATTGCTCTTAGGGGAGGGGGAAGTGCCAAAGAGAAATCCCACATCTAGAAAATGGACAGACAGGATTACTCATAACTAGGCTAGATTGATGGTATATTTTTTAAGGTTACTCAATATGGATACATTTTACCCCAAGATTTTCTATGCACAAAGATGCAGGAAATGTAGAAAAGAAGAATGTCCATTTCTGCTGCCCCTGAGCTCCACAGAAGAATGCTAATCATCATTCAAAAGTAAAATTTGTCATGAAGAAAGAAAGAACTGTTTTTTATTAAGTGACCAAACAGTAAAGCCCCTATCTGACCATGAGCTCTTGTGTTGGGAGACACCTGTGTATAAGATCATCCTGAGTCTTCACAGGTTCAGGAAACGCACAGGTTTGACTAGGAAGAGTCAGGGATCAAAATACGACCTTATCACATGTTCATTTGCAACAGTTGCAAATTACTGGACTGTTGTGATCTATTAAAGTTAGTACCAGTTAGGGCAATTTGCAGGTTCACTTGCAACAGTTACAAGTCATTGGAATTTAGTGATCATTTAAAGTTAGTATGTATTAAGAGAGAACTGTCACCTGAAAGGGAACAACTTTGCAAAGCCACAAGTGCATGTAACACATGCTAGACTGCTTGAATGTACTTCTGCTCATTTTAATTGCACTTAGTGTTACTTTAAACACGTGACACCACCCATTTTGCCAGAGAAACCTGTGGATTTTGCTGTTTTGCAAACAGGTTTCTGCAGTCCGGCAGAGTTCCAGTCTGCAAAGGCTGGGAGGGAGTGGGAGGAGGGCGATCAAGTAGAAGGTGCCATGTGCATGTATGTGCTCACATGGGCACATGGCTGCCAGGCAGCCTGGAGAGCAGCTCCCAAAGCTAAGTTGAGGGGGGAGGAAGGGAACAGAGGGAGGGAGTTGGGCAGGGCTGGGGCTGGGTTTGCTGCCCACCCAGGTGGTGCGTGGGGCTTGGGGCCTAAGGCCACAACATGTGGCTGCAGGGCCCCAGCAGGGGGCAGGATGGGGCTACAGGTGGCTTCTCCAGGGGGTGGGGGAATCCGGCCAGCCCCTTGCTGTGGTGCACACTCCCAGAGGGTAGGGGTCAACTGTGCCCTCCAGATCTGCGCATGGAACTGGGATGGGGCAGGCTGCCTGCTGCAGACTTGGGCTCCTGCCCTGCTGCCATCCCCCGGGGCCTCCGCAGCCCAGAGGGTTCAATCCAACACTTCAGGGCACAGCAGGGCCATGCAGAAAAGCTGCTTGCTGCCAGTTGTGATGCTTAGGGGGTTCATGGGGGTGCATGTGCACCCCCTGAGAACACTGGTGCACCCCCTGACTGGCAACATTCGCCACTTAGGTGATGACGGGGGGGCAGGCAGGAGCAGCGGTGCCCCCCCTGCAAGCACCAGCTGATCCCTGCAGCTGCTCCCAGAAGCAGCCTCAGCCACTCCCGGAAGTGGGGCTGCAGTGTCACAATCGGGTGTTGCGTGATTGGCCACAGGGGAACCCCCTCCCCAGTCAGCAGGACTGGTCGCAGGTGGGGGGGCACGTGCTCCCCTTAACTAAGGTGGCACCAGTCACCCATGTTTACCACTTTGAGCTCTGTGCTTCCCTGGTGACGGGTCCCCTGTGCATGCGGTGGCAGTGAGGGGACCCATCATCACCACCCTTGGTGATGCTGTGCACACAGGGGGATGCATCACCATGGCAGCATGGAGTTCGCAGTGGCAAGCATCCTGCATGGCCCCACAGTTCTCTACAGAACTGGGTCACACCCACTGGGCTGCAGAGGCCCCAGGGGAGGGCAGCAGGGCAGAAGCCTGCAGCAGGCAGCCCACTCTGTCCCCACCCCATACACACATCTTGGGGGCACAGGCCCCCCCTCTCACCTGGGAATGCACATAGTGGTGAGGAGCTGCCCCCACCCTCAAACCTGCAGTAGGAAGACAGCAGGCAGGGAGCCAGGCTCTGCTTTGCTGCAGCAGCAGTCACTTCCTGCTGGGGCCAAGAGCCTGTGGAACTCGGTCCCTGGCCCCATAGCCCTTGCAGCTAGGGGCCCCCTCTGGCAAGGCTGGGAGGACAGGTAGCTGAGAGGGGAAGTGAGGGTCATGAGCAGGGCCAAGGTGCTACGGATGGGGATGTGAGAGGCACCAGTAGGGCTGGGGGGGAGGATGTGGGGAGGAGTGGGGTGCCTTTCATTTTAATCACAGATTTTTGGCGTTTTATCAGAGAAGTTGAAATTTTTTTAATCAGAGAATTCAGTTTTTTATCAGGGAAAATGAGGACCCCTGGTAATGATCCTACTTTGAGTATATACACTTTAGCCAATAAGGTTGCCTTTTATCTAGTCTTTTTCTTGGAATAAGTAGGGTAATGATAATGATATGATATCTACAAAGATTAAGTTTGTTGTTTCTTAACAACAACTTCTTGTTTCTGGAACCAACTTCCAAGAGAAGTGGTGCTGGCTCCTACCCTGGGGGTCTTTAAGAGGAGGTTAGACGAACTCCTTGCTGGGGTCGTTTGATCCCAGTACTTTTTCCTGCCATGGCAGGGGGTCAGACTTGATGATCTGCTCAGGTCCCTTCTCGCCCTACTAATTATGAAACTATTAAATAAAAATATTCTTGGTGGGCATGAAAGAAGACTGAATTGAGATAAAAACACATCAGAAGTTATAAAAAACCCAAACATATTCATAGAGTGCTATTTTTACAACCCCCCCCCCAAAAAAACCCAGAGTTCAGCAATACAGAATATCTGTCTTCCTTCCTTCCTTCCTTCCTGTTAAAATTAAAAAATTCTTAAACATTTAAAAGTCAAGAAGGTGTGAATAGAACATCAGGAAACATTCAGTGATGGTTCCAAAACAAGCCTAACTTCTTCTGTCCCAGCACAACCACTGTCCGTGGTGAATGTTCCATGTCTACTGTTCCCTCTTAGGTCACACATTTCTATTATTCCCAAGAAAAATCTATGCACTTCCTAATAGACTGTGAACCTATTTTCTAAACTGGAGGCCAGAGAGCAAAGCCCTCTCTTCCTTCCGTGTATGAACCAAAGACTGTAATCTCTTTCCAATTACCCTCCACAAAGCATGGCTCTTATCTTCTACTCCACTCCTTAATATTTACCACTTTTTCATCTGAGACAGTACAGGCATGTCCACACATGCAAGCACATGTGCTTGCAGCAGCTCAAATAGAAACGGTGCAAATTTGAGCTGGGGCTTTTTGCTTCAGCGCACGTGCTTGGAGATGCACTTTGTTGTGGAGCAAATTGTGCCACTTGGGGCAAAATAACCCTGCCTGGCTCCTCCCGGATCTTTAGCCAGGGGGAGCTAGAGCCTAGGGCCAGCACCTGTGCTGTTCCCAGCAGTATAAAAAGCTGCCCTGGCAAGTAGCTCAGGGCTACTAGCTCTCAGGAGCTTCTGGGGCCCAGCCAACTGGTACCTGGGGACACTACCTCTTCTGCCAGCTGAACTGCTGCAGCAGGCCTGAGAGTTCCCTGAACCCTCTACCCGCTGCAGCAGCAGTAGAGGCATCTGCCCCTCTGGGCCAGCTGCCAGTGGACTGTGGTTGCAGGGTTGGTCTTTGTGTGGCACTACTGCCATTTGTGCCCCCTGCCCGGCCATCTGGGTGGCAATCACCCAGAAGATGTTCTGGGTGTGGTGGCCTGCTTTGAACTGTCAAAGCATGTCCTCCTAGCCCCATTTGTCCAGGAGTTCAGCCAAAGCCAGCTGGGTCCAAGGTGGCAGCTCTGAGCAGGCATGGTCTTGCCACTAGCCTCCCTAGCAGGAATTCTGGTGTTCCCTATTGGAAAACTGAAAAATCCCTGATTAAAAAAAAAACCTACAGTCACAACAGGGGGTTCAACCCCCAAACAAGGGGTACAGGTCCCCAACAGGGGGTTCAACCCTCAAACAAGGGGTACAGGCCCCCAACAGGGGATTCAGCCCCACAACAGGGGATTCAGCCCCCACACAAGGGGTATGGCCCCCCAATGGGGGGAAAAATGGCCCCCACAGGGGCTGCCTTCCCCCTTCCAAGGCCCACATGCTCCCATCCTAGGCCCCCA